AGCCATTACAGCCGTGGCTGCAGGAGACGTAATCCCTTATTTATCCCTTTGTAACCGTGTGTTGACTGAGATAATTAATGTGTGTAAAGCACTCGAAGATCTTCCAGTGACAGGTGTTACCCAGGTGTCCGGCATTATCTTTAATAATCGCGTATTCATAGGGCCATTGAAGGGAAGGGGGGTGTTGGCGTTTCAAAAATGTCGATTTGGGTTCTCCAACCTCTCCAAAATCCCGCCTGATTTCTTCACCCCAAATTCAGATTTCCTGGTGCCCAGGAGAGTGAGAGTAGGGCTCAGTGGTTCAGATCATTAGGCCACAACAGAAGCTGGTGGCACCTAGAGCCCCCATCCAGCTGAGATCTGGGCTCCATTCCGATAGGCTCACAGCCTAGACAAGAGAGACCCAGGGCGTGAGGGGAACAGAGCCATGCAGAGCTCACCCAGTAACGGAGCCACGGCTCCCGGCAGAGCTCTGGGTGGAATCAGTAGGTTACCTGCTGGGCTGAGCTGCTGCTTCCTTGTTTTGACTTCCAAATGCTGAGCATCCGCGCCTTGTGCCACCTCTGCTGCCTTGCTTCACCCCAGCCTTCACTCTTCACGGGCAGGGTTGGCGTTCTAGTCCTGGGGTGACCTCAGCTGATTCCCTGCGGTTTGCAGCATTGCTGAAGCCAGTCGTGACTCTCCTCGCCTGTTGCGCTGCAAAGGCTTCATCCAGGCCTTTTACATTTTGTCCCATCGCAGCTGAGTCGCCTGTTCTCATGCATCGACATGAGCCACAGCCAGTTACGAAAGGGCAGCCGGTTAGCAGCGCCGCGCCGCGCCTGCCAGGGCTCCGCCTGGTGCTCCTGGGGGAGGTTCTCGGCTTCCCAGGTTGGGCTGCTTGGGTAGCAGTCATGACAAGCACTTAGTACCAGCCTTTGGTGCATCAGAAAGAGAGACTTGGCTTAGCTTCATTGCCAGTAAATCCGAGGGAAAGGCGGATTTCAAACTCTTCGCTCCCAAGTTCCAGAAACTCTCTCTCTCCTGATAGGCACACGTGTGAGCTCCCCAGAGCCCACTCCTGCTTTAGAGCTAGGCAGAGCAAGGGCAGTGTACACTGCAACGGGTCAGTGCAGACCCTCGCTACAGTAACACGAAGGGTTCTCCCATCAGTGAAGGTAATCCAGGGGTAGGCCGTGCTAGGTCATCTTAACTACGAGACTCGGATGTGGGTTTTTCAAACCTTGAGCAACATAGCTGGGTCGACTTAACATTTAAGCATCGTCTTGGCCCGAAACATAATCTGGACCTGAATTACTTGTATCCCTGACACACCCGAAACCAGCTCAGACGTTTACGTCATGTAAAGACCACGTGCTGGGATCTGGCCTGTCAAGCACCACAGCATGCATCTCAGTCACCGGAAGTGACAAAGTAACTCCATTAGCTGGCAGGAGTAGTAGGCTATTCTCCACTAGACACCTCACCAGGAGTGTGTAGAACATCACGTACTTCACAAGGAGGTTCCTAGCTGTGCAGTATTCTGTAGAGGTCGCTGTACTGTTCCAGTTTCTAAGCACTTGGCCATGTTCCCAGGGGAGTGTCTTGTGGTGGTGGATTATAGGCTTTGGTTTCTAGAGTACACGTGTGGCCACATCCACGGTGGTGGGTCAAAGTGGGCTGCATGGCAGTTGGAGGGGGAGGGGAAGGGTTTGGGATGGTCGTTAGTTCCTGGAGGAACCAATTGCTCCATTCCAGGCCACTCCCTGGGATTGGGGCGTGTCTGATGCAGGTGAGATTGGCCCTGGGCCAGAGGAGGGAAGGTGTCCCCATGGCCCTCAGGCCACAGCTTGTGGCCCTCTTCTAAACACCTGGCTCCAGACTAGGTCGGTAAATGTCGATTAATCAGCTCGTCGAGAAGGGGGGCGCTCTGCTGGGTCTCTCCCTTTGAAATGTGCAGGAGCTGCTGCGGGCTCTTGTTCATTTCAAAGGGAGAGGCGCAGCAGCAGGGGACCCCACACCAGCAGGAGCACTTGGATGCCCGCTAGCGCGGGTTCCCCACTGAGCCTCTGCCCCCCCACAGAGACAGTGCTGCACCCGCCCTCG